TTTAAACAAAAAAAGTCCCACCGTGGCACTAATGTCTTTTGGCAAGACATCGATCTACAGTTGCCACTCTCCACCCAGGTGTTAAATGGGTACCCAGTAGGATGTGAAAGCTAATGTGTGCAGGTTAGCATAAGTGCGGTTGGAAAAATGACGCCTGGCTGGAATTGTTATTATTATTTTATTTGGCAAATCAAGTCACATAATACAACAATATAACAAACATGAATTGAGATTAAAAAAATCAATAGAAAGCATATATAAATATTGCAATAGCAGGTGCATCCGGTCGAGCTGCCCGGGTATTTGAAAACGTTAACCAAATAACTGTGATCCGCAGATCTTCCTCCCTACACCCAACTAGATGCACCTAATATTGGTTAAAAGAAAGCTTTAAAAAAAAGATAGATGGGGAGAAGGGAAATTGAGAAAAAGGGGAGAAAAAAGAAGGAAAAAGAAAAAAAGGAAAGAAAAGAAAGAAAAAGAAACAAACATTGCATTACAATTTCTTTTTTAAAGTTGTGATTTCATGACAGGTATAGTAACATATTGTTACTGTTAATCATTCACACCATCATCACGTTGTAAAAAATAAAAATAATATCATTATCATTATCATTATTGACATTATTACTACTACCGTTACTATCATGATTATTATCATTATTATAATTTATATCATTGAAATCAATATTTGTATTAAAACATCAATAAAAAATAATTTTCATTGAGATCACAATTTCAACAACCATAACAACCAGTCTCAAAGCTATTACACGATCATAATATGTACAGATGAAGGTAAGCCCTATATCATGTTTATGAAAATATTAAAATTCAGTAATACAATTTTGGAATGATTTGGAATGGTTAAAATGGACTGTGTATGATTTCAAGTACATATAATTATTGTTTCATATTATATAATGAGAAATGGAACAGAAATTATACGGTATACATCTCAGGCGATTCATATGTGAGGTCTTATTTATAGAATTGAAGAATTATTTATATTCTATAAAATGACTATAAACAGCAACAATTAGATAACTAGCATTACAAAAGCATAAACAGCATTAAAAGATCACACTGTTACAAATATGTATATGCATACACGTCACTATTATCAACATCATCTTCCCTATCATTAATATTATATTCCACATACTAAGAATCTTGCTCTACGATTGGTCATAAGTAAATCACGTAATGAAAGAAAGTTCGCCCATTATTGATGGGAGAAGCAAAAATTTCGTTACACTGTGTAGATAGAGGTACTATCTACACAGTGCAACACACTTTCACTGAAGATTATCCAAAAGCGCACTAAAACAAGTGTAATTAAGCGCGCATTATTTACCAATGAGCGCAATTAAAGAAAACACATACGCGCACCGTACCCTCAAGGGGTTGGGTTAAACTTATTTTTGTTGTTGGTGTGAATTCGGGCCTAGGTGTCTTTTATGTAGATGCATACACGTCGATCCTTTTCTTTTTGTAGTTAAATTGTTATATTAGATAGCTTAGACAGATACCGAGATGTGATTGGTCCAGAGCTCGTCACGTGATATCAATTGCGAGGATCCAAATTGTTATATTTTCCTGGCCGGTCACTTTTCAGTGTTATATTTTACCGGCTGGTGAAATGAATATATTTTTAATCAATGCATGTCGCCCTCTTGAGGACTGTATGTCACCAACTACATACATTACACCATTATCGAGGGCCATTTTATTTTTTCAATATTTTTTTTTCATGAATTTTTTTTTTTCCCAAGAAATTTTTTTTCCACATTTTTTTTTTTTTTTTTAACCCCAATTTTTTTTTTTTTTTTTTTAAAGGTGATCTCGACAAATTATTTTTCCGTAATTTTGATTGTCTCCGAAAAAAAAAAAAAAAAAAATTCGGGCTAAAACAAATATGGACCCCCCCCCCCCACAAAAAAAAAAACCCAAGGCTATCTAATATAACAGTTATTGACTGGCAGGGGGTATATAACATTCTTTGGACCTGAAGGGAGTTATATTTTCCCTCGTGACCATATTTTCCCTCAGCGCTGCGCGCTTCGGGAAAATATAACCACTTGGGAAATATAACTCCCTTCAGCGGTCCAAATAATGTTATATTACACCCCCTGCCAGTCAATAACTGTATAATAGATGTGGAATATAAAGCAAATAATCAACTTTTGGTTTCGGGCGATGGCAAACTATCACTTCCTCGTCGATCAGAATGTATACGCTATCTTTCCTCAGCTTCGCTTCGGAAAGATAGCTACATCCAGATCACCTCGAAAGTGATAGTTTGTCCCATCACCTTCACCAACGGTAATTATTTGCTTATTATTAGTATTGCACTCATTATTATTGCAACGATTATATCATATAACTGTTACAATCATTATTATTATTATTATTAAGAAATATAATGTATAATACAACATGAATAAATACGGAATCATATAAACAGATTTACAAGCCAGAGTTCAACAACTTCAAGTGGGAGCACCAAGAGCCGATTTGAGTCAATAGTACATCGTTACGAATTACGAATATGATCAGGAAGTGTGTCCCACAATTTCGGAAATGAGTTAATGGCTGACGAACGCAGTCTTTCAGTTCGAGCGAACAAATGTTTGAACTTCAGGTCGGTACTATACCTTGGATTTACATTTATGGCGCTGTTTACACTATCGCATGATACAAACACAAACAAACATTTGATAATGAATGTGATCAAAGTGTACTTTCGACGAGACTCAAGAGATGACCAGCGGAGCTAGGCGTCGCAACCTTTCCTCGTATGACATTTCCATTCTTCTTTGTTTAAGAATGCTCCCCTTGGAGTGGAGAATGTGCATACATTGTGTGCGGGTAAGCCTGAATCTGATGACCGGGCAAATAATGTATATATTTATCTGTAATACGCTTTGAGAGGGCCTTCAGTCCTGAAAAGCGCTATATAAGAACTAGATATACTTGCAATAATAGATTTTATGGTTTTTTTTTTACGTATGTTAATATTGGGTTAATTAGAAAGCTGGATATTGTCTTTGGAATTCTTCATTTGTATGATACCTTCATCACTGAAGTAGATCTTTTCTTCCAATCATTTTATATGTTTTTATAAAGATGCATCAAGTAATACATTTACACTAGTGCATATTTTGCCATTTGTCATTTCTTTTTCATGAAGTTTGAGAGCGTATAAAAACAACTATTTCTCGAATATTAAAGCAGTCATTAATACTTTTATATGCCGAAAAAATTATGACACCACCTTGGCCTTTCTCTTGTTTAGCTGCACGGTTGTTTTTTATGAGTGTTTCTTTGAGAGTATACTAGATCTAGATTCTAGTCTAAGCAAGATATTTTTACAATTTTAGGGGTAGGCCGGCCCTGTGGGGAATATGGAGAAAAACCTGCGCTCTCATATGACACCTCACTTATTGAGTATCACCTTCAGGATCACGAGCAATATTAGTTTGAATGTCTGGTAATTAAAACATCGACCAATCTAGCATGATCGAATGCGCAATGGCCAATGGAAATGCACAGGGATGTGTGTAATCTCTACGGGAAGGATCTGCATCTGTCCGTGTGTGACGTACAAATCACTACAATCACCAGCATCTGGTTGTCGCGTACTAGAATCTAGATCTAGGCCTACTGAAAAAAAAATTATGGAAGATTTCACGTACCCTTTTTGGTGTTCTTGCTGTCAGTATGTCTAGCATTTGATCCTCATCCAGAAGTTAAAATCTTGGGAGAGTTTCTACAGCCATTTTTGCCTTGTTCGAATCGAGATATATTGCCGTACTAAAAATGCCGACCAATTCTTCGCACACGGTATCCGGTATCCGCGATCGCTCAAACCATTTTTTAACATGTAAACCTATGGGTAACCATGGTTACTGGGATTTTAGAACTATTTTTTTAGAACATATTTTCCCGGTTACCATGGTAACTGGGATTTTAGAACTATTTTTTTGAACTACTACATGGGTTTGGAATTTTACCGGGAATTTTACAGGAATAGTTAAGTTTATGAATGCAATTTCGACCAATCAGATGGCTGGATTTCTTAAGTGAGGTATATAACGCAAGCTAAACCCTTCACTTGAGCCGTGCAATTTTCTTTTATTTATTTTAGATCTGAATGTAAGATGTGAATGTGAGTATAAGGTTCATGTTAGTACAGAAGTGTAGGAATAATACAGATGGAAGGGATATAAAACAATATAAAAATGACTTATTCTCGGAACAAGCTAAAACTATTCGCACTCAGGAACATCATTAGTACTTTTCTCCCTCGGGCCGATGGCCCTCGGGAGAAGAGTACTAGTTGATGTTCCTTCGATGCGAATAGTTTCAGCTAGATCCTCGAGTGTCATTGTATATTTGTATATTATATCCAGACGTTTCCTGCCGACTACATCGGAATAGTTCATTTGTTATTGGTGACGTCACGCGCAGTTGCCTTTTTCCCTAGGGAAAAAGGGAACTGTGTGTTTTCCCAGTGAGCAAACAGGATTTCAAATGCCTCCGCACGGGCAACTCCCACTGTGTTACGGCGCTCTCAAAGCCCAAGTCCACTCCAAAAATAACTTTCTTTCAATAGAAGCAGAAAAGTCAGACAAATCAATCAAATTTTCTTTTATTTCGTTTCGATCTGAATGTAAGATGGAATGTGAGTATAAGGTTCATGTTATTGCAGAAGTGTACAATTAGGAATGATATACAGATCGAGGGGATATTTGTATTTGTATTTATTAACATTTATTTCCTTCTCAACAGTACAATATGAAACACAATGTATATATACATGATATATGTAACACTTATTTCAACAGAGTATACAGTAGATAATTCAGATACGGAAGGATACGGATATAAAACAAAAATAAAATGACTCATTCTCGGAACAAGCTTAAACTACTCGCACTTAGGAACATCACTAGTACTTTTCTCCCTAGGCCCGATAAAAAGGTGAAAATCTGTTGATGAGATTTCAAATTAATCCAACTCCTCGTACATTTATTCTTCCCAAATTGTATCTTTCAGTTGACAGAACGCCACCTGTTGCCACATGCCCTGCGGATATCCTGCGGGAGGTTGGATTAGGACAAACAAGTATTCAAGTCTTCTTTACTGCACCTACTGCAATAGACAACAGTGGACAAGTCCCGACAATTACTTCTCAATCTCATTCAACAACAGATTTCTTTGTCCCTGGTAACACCCAAGTTACCTGGACCTTTGCTGATGCCAATGGAAATCAAGATTCTTGCAGCTTTAACGTCACTATTACACAAGGTTAGTATTACTGAAATAATGATCTTTTGAGTTAATGATACGAATCTGCATGGATCTACCTCAAAAAAAATTATCCTTTCTAACTGCAAAATATCTGTATTATCGGTTACACTGACGTTATCTGGAGCTTTGTAGATGGCAAGGACAACATTAGGGTAATAACAGCTTTGTTTGTCATACAGGTTAGTATTACTGGGGAAATAAAGTTTGATTTAAGAATTGAATGTAAAAAAAAAATTTACCTAAAATATAAATGATATTCTTTATAATTTAAAATAAACCATCTAATGATCATCTTTTTTTTTAAAGTTAACTTGATACAACAAAAAAAGTTTGATTTTCTGCAGAAGAATCACCTTGTATATCTTTACCATTTTATGTTTCAATCTGATAAGTGTTGTATTGTGTTCTTTACAAGCTTGTCATACCTCGATCCATCCATCAAGATTTAAGCCTGGATGTTTACGTCTGTCTGTTACATGGTATCATTATTCTGTCATTTTAGACTACATTAATTAATACAATATTACTACAATCTTACGTTCCTGATATAACTTATAATGTATCTGTGTATTATGCTACCCATATATCTTAAATGCTAAGTGTCATTGCAATAAAACTCCAGAGTAATTTGGGGCCAAATCAGCAGCTCTATGTTAGCTTTTGGGGATAAAACGACCAAATGTTTATTTCATGCAAACTTTGGCTCTCTTTACAGAGAAAATGTAGTTAGAACATTTCCTATGGACACATGTAAATAGGTAAAAATGTGAAAATCTGTTGATGAGATTTCAAATTAATCCAACTCCTCGTACATTTATTCTTCCCAAATTGTATCTTTCAGTTGACAGAACGCCACCTGTTGCCACATGCCCTGCGGATATCCTGCGGGAGGTTGGATTAGGACAAATACGTATTCAAGTCTTCTTTACTGCACCTACTGCAATAGACAACAGTGGACAAGTCCCGACAATTACTTCTCAATCTCATTCAACAACAGATTTCTTTGTCCCTGGTAACACCCAAGTTACCTGGACCTTTGCTGATGCCAATGGAAATCAAGATTCTTGCAGCTTTAACGTCACTATTACACAAGGTTAGTATTACTGAAATAATGATCTTTTGAGTTAATGATACGAATCTGCATGGATCTACCTCAAAAAAATTATCCTTTCTAACTGCAAAATATCTGTATTATCGGTTACACTGACGTTATCTGGAGCTTTGTAGATGGCAAGGACAACATTAGGGTAATAACAGCTTTGTTTGTCATACAGGTTAGTATTACTGGGGAAATAAAGTTTGATTTAAGAATTGAATGTAAAAAAAAAATTAACCTAAAATATAAATGATATTCTTTATAATTTAAAATAAACCATCTAATGATCATCTTTTTTTTTTAAAGTTAACTTGATACAACAAAAAAAGTTTGATTTTCTGCAGAAGAATCACCTTGTATATCTTTACCATTTTATGTTTCAATCTGATAAGTGTTGTATTGTGTTCTTTACAAGCTTGTCATACCTCGATCCATCCATCAAGATTTAAGCCTGGATGTTTACGTCTGTCTGTTACATGGTATCATTATATAAAATAAGGAATAGATTACAATTTTCCATAATTTGATTCTTGTTAAAACCTAGGAAGATCTTTTAGAGCATATGCTATTATACATTCATGGCTATTCAGTTTTATCATACTCGGTCAGTTGTATATGGTAATTGAGAGATGTTTCTCATGTTTTTTTTTTTTTTGCATGACAACTTTTCTGTCATTTAAGACTACATTAAATATTAAATACAATTTAAGTGTACACAATAAGTGTTATTGTGTTCTTTACAAGCTTCCATTATATGAACTCTGTCATAGATTATAGAACTGAAAAAGTAGGATGTTGTTAATAAACTTAGAAAAACATTAATAGTAACTGTTGCTATACATGCATGGCCAATTTTAGACTGTTTTGGGTGTCAATTTAAGACTACATTAAATATTAAATACAATTTAAGTGTATACAATAAGTGTTGTATTGAGTTCTTTACAAGCTTGCATTGCATGAACTCTATCATAGATTATAGAACTGAAAAAGTAGGATTTTGTTTTTAAACTTGGAAAGACATTGATAATAACTGTTGCTATACATACATAGCCAATTTTAGACTGTTTTGGGTGTCAATTTAAACTAGATCAATACTGCATTATTACACTTTTACGAACCTGATTCCTAATATTCTACCTAATAATTATAGTGCTTGTGTAATGGAGTTATGTATCATTACAATAGAGCCACTAAATGAAGTAGGTTGATTAGTTTGGGGGATAAAAAGACCAAATATTAAACGTAATGGGTAAAATATGATGAAAACGATAGTTCCATTTATAGTGAACATCTAGTTGATGAAACCTTTCATGTAAAACACAAGCATGTTAACAGGAACAAAATATCAATTACAGAAATGTCGATAACATTTGAAATTTCTCCAACTTCTCAAACCTGTATAAATGTGGAATAACATTCCTAATGATCAGTTGTGTTTTATCAAATAGTATTTGGACATGAAAAACTCGTGTTGGTGTCTTTATTAAAACAGTATCTTGTTATTTTTTGTTATACTATATTTATGTTTCGAGCTGTCATGGTTAGCTCGTTTAGTGTTTATGAGCTTGTCATACCTCGATCCATCCATCGAGATTTAAGCCTGGATGTTTACGTCTGTCTGTTACATGGTATCATTATATAAAATAATGAATAGATTACATTTTCCATAATTCGATTCTTGTTAAAACCTAGGAAGATCTTTTAGAGCATATGCTATTATACATTCGTGGCTACTCAGTTTTATCGTAATTGAGAGATGTTTCTTATGTAGTTTTTTTGCATGACAAATTTTCTTTCATTTAAGACTACATTAAATATTAAATACAATTTAACTACAATTGTATGTTCCTTATTTAACTTATAATGTATCTGTAATGCTACTTACATAATTGAAGCGTTCAGTGTCATTGCAACATAACTCTAGAATAATTTGGGGCCAAATCAGCAGCTAGCTCTTTGTTAGCTTTTGGGGATGATACGACACATTGTTTAATTTCATGGAATCTTTGGCTCTCTTTAAAGAGAAAATGTAGTAAGAACATTTTGTATGGACACATGTAAACAGGTGAAAATGTGAAAATCTGTTGGAGAGATTCAAAATGATCCACCCCTCATACCTTTATTCTTCCTAAATTGTATCTTTCAGTTGACAGAACGCCACCTGTTGCCACATGCCCAGCGGATATCCTGCGGAAGGTTGGATTAAGTCAAACAAGGAGTCAAGTCTTCTTTACTGCACCTACTGCAATAGACAACAGTGGACAAGTCCCAACAATTACTTCTCAATCTCATTCAACAACAGATTTCTTTGACCTTGGTATCACTCAAGTTACCTGGACCTTTGCTGATGCCAATGGAAATCAAGATTCTTGCAGCTTTACTGTCATTATTATTGTACAAGGTCAGTATTACTGAAATAAAGATTATTTAGATTATAAAGATTATCTTAGATAGATGGCGCCTCACAGGCAGCACGTCGTTATTCAGAGCTCTCTCTTTACATGACTTTGCTCTGTATTTTCATCGCTTTTCCTTCATCTTCAAGTCTCAGATGCTGAGTATTCTACTACTGTATATGAACTGATATATCTGGACCATGTAAGTTATGTAAAAGATTGTTTAGAATTTCACAGTCCATGATTGAAATATGTGAATGAATTTTGATAGTTTTTATCTCAATTTTCTGCAATACTGAATATTTCTTGCCATCTCCCCTCATCTGTAATGATAAGGTACCCTTTGTCTGTCTCTTCCTCTCTTCAACCCTCTCTCTCTTTCCATCTTTCTCTCCCGTCCCCTTTCTCTTTCTTTCTCTCCTTCTCTCTCTTTGTCATCACTCCAACTCTCCCTCTCCTACACCTTTTTTTAACAAAAATTTGAATCTGATCAATGAATGTTTATGAAATGTCTATATGTTTGATTATTGATTTATGTCATATGTTGTGTTATTTCAATTTGAATTGCAATTGTATTGTATATAACCTTGTGAAATGGATCGCAATTCAGCCATTGGCTGCGATGATCTTTTTAATAAAAACCATTTCTATCTATCTATCTATCTATCTATTATTTGATTAAATTACATAAACTTGCATAAATGGATCTTCCTCAGAAATAAAAGAAAATCCCTTTTAACTGCAAAATATCTGTATTATCGGTTACATTGACGTATCTGGAGCTTTGTAGATGGCAAGGACATCATTAATGTAATTGCAGCTTTGTTTTTCATACAGGTAAGTATTACTTGGGAATTAAAGTTTGATGTACGAATTGAATATTAAAAAAATCAATCCAAAAATATACATGATATTGTTTATAAATATAGACTAAAACATCTAATAATCATCTCTTTTTTTTTAAAAGTTAATTTGATACAAAATAAATAAAATTTATGATTCTTTTGCCGAAGAATCACCTTGTATATCATTTTATGTTTCAATCCGGTAGTGTTTTATTGTGTTCTTTACAAGCTTGCATTATATGAATTGTGTCATAGATTATAGAACTAAAAAATTGACCGTTGTTATCACTTGGGAAGACATTAATAGTAACTGTTGATATACATACATGTCCAATTTTAGACTCTTTTCGGTGTCAATTTAAACTAGATCAATACTACATTATTACATTCTTACGATCCTGATTCCTAATATTCTACTTATTTAATAATAATATTAATAATAACAAAAATAATAATAATAATAATAATAATAATAATAATAATAATAATAATAATAATAATAATAGCCTAATAGTCCACTCCAAATTTTATTAAACTGAAACGCAAATTCTGTTTGCCCAATTGATCGTGGGCCCGGCAGCCACTGAGCAGCGCCAGATCGACGTTGCTCTGTCCCTTATAGTGCTTGTGTAATGGAGTTATGTGTCATTACAATAGAGCCACTCAATGAAGTAGGTTGATTAGTTTGGGGGATAAAAAGACCAAATATTAAACGTCATTGGTAAAATATGATGAAAATTATAGTTCCATTTATAGTGAACATCTAGTTGATGAAACCTTTCACGTAAACATGAAAAGAATATCATTTACAGAAATGTCGATAACACTTGAAATTTCTCCAACTTTTCATACCTGTGTAAACGTGGAATAACATTCCTAATGATCAGCTGTGTTTTATCAAATAGGATTTGGATATGAAAAACTCTTGTTGGTGTCTTTTTTAAAACAGTATCTTGTTATTTTTTGTTATACTATATTTATGTTTCAGACTGTCATGGTTAGCGCGTTTAGTGTTTTTGAGCTTGTCATACCTCGATCCATCCATCGAGATTAAAGCCTGGATGTTTACGTCCGTCTGTTACATGGTATCATTATATAAAATAAGGAATAGATTACAATTTTCCATATTTCGATTCTTGTTAAAACCGAGGAAGATCTTTTAGAGCATATGCTATTATACATGCATGGCTATTTAGTTTTATCATACTCGGTCAGTTGTATATGGTAATTGAGAGATGTTTGTAGTTTTTTGCATGACACATTTTCTGTCATTTTAGACTACATTAAAATTAAATACAATATAACTACAATTAAATGTTCCTTATTTAACTTATAATGTATCTGTAATGCTACCCACATAATTAAAATATAACTCTAGAATAAATTGGCGCCAAATCAGCAGCTCCTTGTTAGTTTTTGGGGATAATTCGGTCAAATGTTTAATTTAATGGAAACGATGGCTCTCTTTACAGAGGAAATGTAGTAAGAACATTTCCTATGGATCTATTTAAACAGGGAAAAATGTGAAAGTCTGTTGATGAGATTTAAAATGATCCACTCCTCATACATTTATTCTTCCCAAATTGTATCTTTCAGTTGACGGAACGTCACTTGTTGCCATTTGCCCTGCGGATACACAGTTGGAGGTTGGACCAAGTGGAACGAGTAGACAAGTCTTCTTTATTGAACCTACTGCAACAGGCAACAGTGGATTAGTCCCGACAGTGGTTTCTCAGAGTCATACACCAGGTGATTTCTTTACCCTTGGTACCACCCAAGTTACCTACACCTTTGCTGATGGCAGTGGAAACCAAGATTCTTGCAGCTTTAACGTCATTATTACACAAGGTGAGTATTGCTAGAATAATGACATTTTGAGTTAATGATACGATTATTTATCGATCTACCTCAGAAATAAAAGAAAATCCCTCTTAACTGCAAAATATCTGTATTATCGGTTACATTGACGTATCTGGAGCTTTGTAGATGGCAAGGACATCATTAAGGTAATTGCAGCATTGTTTGTCATACAGGTCAGTATTACTTGGGAAATAAAGTTTCATGAACGAATTGAATGTTAAAAAAATCAACCAAAAAATATACATGATATTGTTTATAAATATAGACTAAAACATCTAATAATCATCTCTTTTTTTTAAAAGTTAATTTGATACAAAATAAATAAAATTGATAATTCTTTTGCCGAAGAATCACCTTGTATATCATTTTATGTTTCAACCCGTTAGTGTTTTATTGTGTTCTTTACAAGCTTGCATTATATGAATTGTGTCATAGATTATAGAACTAAAAAAATTGAACGTTGTTATAACTTGGGAAGACATTAATAGTAACTGTCGATATACATACATGTCCAATTTTAGACTCTTTTCGGTGTCAATTTAAACTAGATCAAAACTGCATTATTACATTCTTACGATCCTGATTCCTAATATTCTACTTATTTAATTATAATAATAATTAAAAATAATAATAATAATAATAATAATAATAATAATAATAATAATAATAATAATAATAATAATAATAGCCTAATAGTCCACTTCAAATTTTATTAAACTGAAACGGAAATTATTTTTGCCCTATTGATCGTGGGCCCGGCAGCCACTGAGCAGCGCCAGATCGACGTTGCTCTGTTCCTTATAGTGCTTGTGTAATGGAATTATGTGTCATTACAATAAAGCCACTCAATAAAGTAGCTTGATTAGTTTGGGGGATAAAAAGACCAAATATTAAACGTCATTGGTAAAATATGATGACAATTATAGTTCCATTTATAGTGAACATCTAGTTGATGAAACCTTTCATGTAAACAGGAACAGAATATCAATTACAGAAATGTCGATAACACTTGAAATTTCTCCAACTTTTCATACCTGTGTAAACGTGGAATAACATTCCTAATGATCAGCTGTGTTTTATCAAATAGGATTTGGATATGAAAAACTCTTGTTGGTGTCTTTTTTAAAACAGTATCTTGTTATTTTTTGTTATACTATATTTATGTTTCAGACTGTCATGGTTAGCGCGTTTAGTGTTTTTGACTTGTCATACCTAGATCCATCCATCGAGATTTAAGCCTGGATGTTTATGTCTGTCTGTTACATGGTATCATTATATAAAATAAGGAATAGATTACAATTTTCCATAATTTGATTCTTGTTAAAACCTAGGAAGATCTTTTAGAGCATATTCGTGGCTACTTAGTTGTATCTTAATTGAGAGATGTTTCTCATGTAGTTTTTTTTGCATGACAAATTTTCTTTCATTTAAGACTACATTAAATATTAAATATAATTTAACTACAATTGTATGTTCCTTATTTAACTTATAATGTATCTGTAATGCTACCCACATAATTACAATATAACTCTAAAATAATTTGGGGCCAAATCAGCAGCTCCTTGTTAGTTTTTGGGGATAATTCGGCCAAATGTTTAATTTAATGGAAACTTTGGCTCTCTTTACAGAGGAAATGTAGTAAGAACATTTCCTATGGATCTATTTAAACACGTGAAAATGTGAAAATCTGTTGATGAGATTTAAAATGATCTACTCCTCATACATTTATTCTTCCCAAATTGTATCTTTCAGTTGATAGAACGCCACCTGTTCCCTCATGCCCTGCTGATACACGGTTGGAGGTTGGACCAAGTGGAACGAGTAGACAAGTCTTCTTTACTGCACCTAATGCAACAGACAACAGTGGAGTAGTCCCGACAGTGGTTTCTCAGAGTCATACACCAGGTGATTTCTTTACCCTTGGTACCACCCGAGTTACCTACACCTTTGCTGATGTCAGTGAAAACTCAGATTCTTGCAGCTTTAACGTCATTATTACACAAGGTTAGTATTACTAAAATAATGATCTTTTGAATTAATGATACGAATATTCATGGATCTACCTCAGAAAAAATATCCTTTCTAACTGCAAAATATCTGTATTATCGTTTTACACTGACGTTTCTGCAGCTTTGTAGATGGCAAGGACAACATTAGGGTAATTACACCTTTGATTGTCATACAGGTCAGTATTACTTGGGAATATGTTTTAATTTAAGAATCGAATGTAAAGATATCTACCTATAAAAATTAATGATATTCTTTATTAATATAGAATAAATATATAATGATCAGCTGCTTTTAAATTTCATTGGATACAATAAAATATGTTGTTTGATTCTTTTGCTGAAGAATAACTTTGTATTTCTTCACCATATTTCTGTTTCAATCCGGTAGTGTTGTAAGTGATCGTTACATACTTGCATTATATTAACTGTGGCATATAAAATTTAAAATGTTGACTGTTTTTATAACTTAGGAAAAAATTAAGAGTCACTGTTCCTTTACATAAATGACCAAATGTTTTTTTGGTGTCAATTTAAACTAGATTTTTACTGCATTACTACATTCTTACCAGCCTGGTTCCTGATATTCCACCTATTGAATTATAGTTGTTATGTATAAAATGCATGTGTCATCACAATAGAGCCATTCAAAGAAATAGGTTGGTTAGTTTGGGGGATAATAAGACCAAATGTTAAACGTTATGGTTAAGATTAGATGAAAATTATGGTTCCATTTATAGTGAACATCTAGTTGATGAAATTGTTCATGAACAACACAAACATGTGAACAGGTACAAATACATAATTCGTTTATCCGATTTTCCGTTTTCCTCAACCTCAAAATAATTCCAAAAGTGTGCCCCACCCCCACCCCCTTCCCCCTAGCAAAAAGGAGTAGCGATTCGGGCTTTTGTCATTTACCGAGTTACGAGCATGAGGAACAATGAGCCTTCGGAGTAACGTATCCTTCGGAATTAATTCCGATCCTTTGGATGTATAAACCTTTGAAGAGCAATAAGTAACCGGATTTAACTATTTCATTGATCATTAGAATGTCCTAACGTCACGATGGAAACTGAATTCGGACAGGCCAGACTTCCGATGACTGAAGTTGGAATCATTATCGACTCGGAAGAACTGTGCCCAGAGGAAGGTTCTGAAGGTAGGGTAATTTGTAGTGGCATATTTTCACAATTTCCAGGGGTGGGGTAGGACGACTATTTTAATGGACTTTCCATTCATGACATCTTCAAAAATGTATTGTAACAAAATACCGAAAACTATCTTTTAACCTTTTTATCTGACATTGAAAGGTAATCTATTTCAAGATTCACTGACCACAACAAAATAATGAAAGTTCTTTTTCATGTGGAGTAGTGGAAAAGTTATGCACTATAAAGTCACAATAGTCTAAAGTAAATATGAGGAAAATTGTTATTAACCAATTATCGAAGTACGAGCTGAAAAGTACATGAAATATTATTCCTGTGAATTTTATTATAGGAATATGAGACACACGCCCTCTAGCATAACATGTTCCATCGATTCAAACTCCCCACTGCTATTTTTTTTTTTATCATTCCCTTTAATTTATCGTATGCATATAGTCAGTTGAGTCTTGTCAGATAAACAATGTAGCATTGATATTGACTTTAATCTCTAATCGATTTCAGCTTGGCTGTTATGGGTTTCAAAGAAATACGACTATTAAACCAATAGCAGTTCGGAGTTTTCTAAGGGTGTAAATCAATCAGCTTTCCCTCCCAAATTGGCACCGACCATTCGTAGTTTCAACTGTTTCAAAGGTTAAAATATAAAAATGGAATGGTGTTAGTTAATTTAAGTTCGCTTTCCAAATTTGGAAATGTCAAGCCTTTTTTTGTTTCGATTAAATCGCTTTTATGTATGAGAGAGACAATGTACTGCACAGAAATTTACTCAAAATTTTCAGCGACATTCAGCGTCATCTATTAGAGAAGCGCTTAAACTGCATTGGGTTCACGAATCAATCGATAGTACCGAAACAGAGAAACAGTTTATTTGCAAATGGTGGCACCATTTGCTTGTCTGATTTCGTTTACTAATTTATTGTGTTAACATTTTTTCACAAGGAAAAACATGAATTTTATGCTGTATCAGCATGATCAGTAGCAGAGATAGCAAAACGTTTTCAAATTTGAATTGAATTGAATTGAATTTATTTATTCACCATCATTGAAAACATTGAAACAAAAGATAAATGTACAATGACAATGTCAATATAACATAAATGCATGACATGAATTATAAAAAATACATGTTCTACAGCGATATACATGTACATTATGACAAATATAAAGTAAACTTTGCTTCAAGAGTAAAACAATAAATTACTATTTACAATGATTTTGTGATCGATGGTAAAATAGAGTAAAAAAAAAAAATGATACTGGTTACTATATACAACTAAATAGTTACGAGGTTATGATTCGTGGTTTTCACTTAAGAGTAGTTTTGTAAGTTTTTTACGAAAAGAGGTTCTTGATCTCTCAATTCTTAGATCAGTAGGAAGCATATTCCAAAAATTACTTCCAACAAACGAAACAAAAAACTTTCCTTGGTCTGTTTTGAATAAAGGAAGACGTAATTGTCGACCCGTTTTTTGTCTTGTGGAATATTCATGTTGTATCATACTGCAATAATGTTTTAAGGAATGAGGTAATCGTTCATTTATCAAATCAAACACAAAAGTACAAATAGATAATTTATGCAATTTAAAAACATTCAACAATTTGAGGTCATGAAACAGTCCATTAGTATGAAAACGATGTGGCTTGAAAGTTATAGCACGTACAGCGTACAGCCATCTTTTGAGTATAAAATATACAATTCAAGTGTGTTTTATAAGTACTACCCCAAACCTCGATGCCATATGTAATATGTGGCTGTATCAGAGCTTTATACAACAGTATCAATATATGTTTAGGGACAAAGTGCCGTAATTTAAAGAGGATACCGACCTTTCTCCGTATACAGTCATTAACAGATTTTATATGTGAATTCCATGTTAAATGTCTGTCAATGGTAATGCCAACAAATGTTGCTTCCTCCACTTCTATTAATTCTGCCCCAGATATTTTTAATCTCCCTTTAAGCACAGCCTTTCTTCTACGACTACTGAAGAACATGAAATTGGTTTTTGATGCATTGATAGTAAGCTTATTTGCAGTGCACCAATTCTGTATTGATTTTAAATTTTCATTTACTTCACACTCATCTATTTGATCTACACCTTTGGGAAAAGTATGAAAAATATTAGAATCATCTGCAAATAGTCTGAAATTGAAATAATTTGTCACAGTTGGCAAGTCATTTATATAGATTAAAAACAGAGTTGGTCCTAAGACAGAACCTTGTGGTACACCGCATTTGATATATCTACTTTCTGATGATGACTCTTTGTATTTCACAAACTGCATTCTGTCACTAAGATAGCTTTCGAGCCATTTCAGTGCATGTCCTCGGATGCCATAATGTGATAGCTTTTTAAATAATATTTTATGGTTTATTGTGTCAAAAGCCTTTTGAAAGTCAAGAAACACGCCAAGCGTAACACATCCTTCATCTATACTTTTCAATACCGTATTCATAAGATTAATTAATGATAATTTAGTACTATACTTTTTCCTAAATCCGTACTGATGGTGATATAAAATGTCATGCGTTTCTAGAAAACTGGTCAATCGAACATTAACTATTTTTTCTAATACTTTACCCAAAATTGGTAAGACAGAAATGGGTCTATAATTCCCTGTTTCATGTTTATTACCTTTCTTAAACAGTGGACTGACTTTAGCAATTTTCATTTGATCAGGGAAATTTCCTGTTTCCAATGAAAGATTGAAGATATGTCTTAATGGTTCAGCCAAAATAGATGCACCATCCTTAATCAGGCGTACTGGAATGTTGTCGTAACCACAAGCTTTCTTCTCGTCTAGAGCCAAGATGTGGTCATGAATTTCCTTCATTGTGACCGGTTTCCAAAAAAGGGATTGCTCAACACTATTATTCAAATAATCTTCAAATAATGTGGGTACATTTGGTATTGCTGATGCTAGATTTGGACCAATGTTACCAAAAAAATCATTAAATTCATTGGCAATTTCAGATTCAGTTGTTAAAACTTTATCATTTCCATCAATACGCCTTATAAGTTTTTCTACCTTAGTACCTTTGTTACCTTTATTTCTCCCAGATAGTAATTCATTTATGATGTTCCACGTTTTACTAGTGTTATTGCTGTTCTCAGCTAGCAAACCACTGTAATAATTTCTCTTGGCATTGCGAAGAACAGTCGTTAATACATTTCTGTAGTTCCGAAATTTTTGTACATCACTTAAATCAAAATTAGATTTCCTTACTTTTAAAAACAATTTATATTTTTTTCGAACAGACTTCATTATTGATTTGGTTATCCAAGGTTTCTTATGAGCGCGTCCTTTGCAGCTTCTTTTCTCTTTGATTGGTGCATGTTTATTACAAACATTATTTAACAAATTAAGAAAAATGGAATATGCCATGTTAACATCTTCACAGCTATTGATATGTTGCCACTCTTGCCCAGCAAGCTCATCTTTAAAGTTGTTTACATCATAGTTTTTATAACATCTGTAAGTTACAGTCTGTGGATAATGCATCTGCTTCGAATTTATACATGGATTTTCTAAAATCATGAACACAGGGTAGTGATCAGAAATATCACATTCTATAAAACCTGAGTGATTATCATACTTGTTCATATTAGTGTATATATGGTCTAATAAGGTTACAGACTCACTGGTTACTCTTGTTGGATATTTTATTTTCTGCTCCATTCCTACGCATTTCATCGCTGTTGAAAACCCTTCTGTTGTTCCGTCTGAACTTAATGAATTTATATTAAAATCTCCTATTATAATGGTATTGCGTCTGTCGACTTTAATGTCTTCTAAAACTGTGAGAAGACTTTCTTGAAATTCTTTAACATCTGTATTTGGTTTCCTATATAAAACACCTACCATCACCTTCTGGAATTCTCCATTGTTTATTTCAAACCAGATTGATTCTGTATGCTTCACTGTATAATCTTTCACGACGTATTTCAAATTAGAACGAATATAAGCTCCTACCCCTCCTCCTCTTTCTCTACCATCCCGGCACTTTACCTCCAATAAATAACCTTCCATTTCCAAGGTTGATTTTTCTAAAACTCTCCATACTTCTGATAATGCAATTACATCGAATCTGAACTTAACGCAATCTTTATATAACAACTTTAAGGAATCAACATTTTTGTTTAGCGAACGTACATTTACATGGGAGATACTAATTGATTTTTTACCGTCAAGTGGCAATGTACTATCAAATGAATTTGGACATAACTTATAAGAATGTGATATAGTGTTATCAAACATATTATTAGAATTTTTGTATTTTGAAAAAAAAATGACATTATGAAAGGGGATAGCCAAATGATGCCAAATGATAGCCAAATGATGTTTGTTACTTTCTCTTACCTTTCTTTCTTTTTATATATAATTTTTTTTTTTAGGCCCTGTGGCACCAATTATTAGAGCTGTTTGCCAAGTTTCTAGTAACGGCACAACTTATTGGAACGCCAGTATGAGATGTCAAGATGATATCACTCGACGATTAATGGGAATATTGATGGCAAGTTACACCATGATTACTTCAAATGCTCTTACAGATATGAACAGGTATACCGTGGTGGTTTGTATTAATGTGTGAATGAATGGCAACTAAGCACAACAGAGGTTCTATGGCTTTCTCAGTTCTTCGCGTCTTCTGGTTACACGTACTTGCAGAATGGTCTGGTTTAATAATAATAATAATAATGATAATAATATTGGATAGTTATATAGCGCACATATCCACCCTATAAGGTGCTCAAAGCGTTCCAATTTTACTCCGGCTCTGCTAGGCTACCGATTTCGGTGCTCACATCACAGGGAATTCCTAACTACCGGTACCCATTTACTTCACGTTGGTGGAGTATGGTAAATGTAGATCAATGTCTTGCCAAAGGACATTAGTGCCGCGGCGGGATTCGAACCGCGGACCTTATAATCGACAGTCCTGCGACGTATCCACTCATCCATGACACCTAAGATGTTTTTGTGAAGAAAAAATAAATACCATTTTGTCTATTTTTACCGACACTTTTAGACGTTTTTAACTTGTTTATAATAATCACAAGAGAGTTTGGAAGAAGGCCACCGATCGACACTTCGCCGTTGTCTGATCATATTGGCATGTTTTTTCACAAACAAATGTACATGTAAACAGATAAACCTTATCTCTAGGACAATCATTGAAAACGTTGTGATTATTTTGCATTCAGTTTACCCGATCTTTCGTGAATAATGGGGCCTGTTTTCACAAAATATCGTTTAGCCTGACGTGAAGCACCCGACCTTTTGCGAATAAAGGGATACTTTTTACAAAAGGTCGTGTAACCCGACAAACCGACTTGACACGAAGATCCGATTGAACAAAATAAGCCTACGCGTATTTAAATTTACGTCATCATTAAAAGAAAGAAACAAACGCCGCTGATTACCGCTTCATATCTAAACGGATCACTTACAGAAGCGCGATACCAGGGGAGTGGTTGCAGGGAGGGGGAGTTTCATTAAATTTTTAGGGAAGAAGACAATTCGTTGTACCGTTCTCGACTCTTAATACTTGTCTAAATTCAGTTTCTTTTGACGTTCATTAAATTATTAGAGAAAGAAGACAATTCGTTGTACCGTTCTCGACTCTAAATCATTGTCTAAATTCAGTTTCTTTTCAGGTTTCATTAAATTATAAGAGAAAGAAGACGATTCGTTGTACCATTCTCGACTCTTAATCCTTGTCTGAATTCAGTTTTTCCCCTCCCTCGCGAAGCGTGGATGCTTTGACGATTCATTAAATTATTAGAGAAAGAAGACGATTCGTTGGACCGTTCTCGACTTTAAATCCTTGTCTGAATTCAGTTCCCTTCCCGCCCCCCTCCCCCGCGAAGCGGGGGAGCTATAACGTTTAATTTTGTTTTGGCCGGCGTTTTTTTTTTGGGGGGGGGGGGGGGGGGGGGGGGGGGGCGACCGCCCCTATCGCCCCCTGGCTACGCGCCTATGCATTTTGCAGTAAAGAATACAAACGACTTAATAAGTATATGTGTGTCTCTTTGTACTTGAAGAACGGGATCTTTGATGCTAATGTGAAAGAAGTTGCTGAAGAAGTTTTTACAATAACCCAGAACTATGAGGAAATTGAAGATGAAGACATTGGCTTACTGTTTGAGATCCTGCAGCTGATAAGGGACCTGAATCCTGATGCAAATGTGAGTTAATGGGTCATTTCCCCTTCCTCTCACGTATCTTATCTCATAGAAACAAATCATTTTATCTAAAGAAGGAGAACGAGCATGTTCAAACACATCTGTATTGCTAAGTGTGGGAGAGAAAGTCTTTAATATTATTATCGAAAATCATGCAATGAAAGATGAATGATAAATGTTATGGTATACTTTATATTAGTATTAGTAGAGTCACAATGGCTCAGTGCATGGTAAAACAGTGGTTTCTTAACCGGGAGGTCCGGGATTCGAAACCCAGATGATGTGCTAGTGCCCATTGATTGATGGGGCTTTTACACTCCGGGGCCCGTAGGACGAATAAAAACAGACATTTTGGGAATTTTCGGCCGGTGGCCGGCTGGCTCCTTTACAGTTCCTACAGGACCAAAACATTTTCACCAGCCGTACGGTGCTGAGTTGGCAAATCCCAGTTCTCCCGGCGTTTTCATCTGACTGTTAGGCAGTAGAAAGCCCGTTAAGGACATGTGGGGCACCATACGGGTCCCCCGCTCCCCGCTTATTCAGCGGCTGGCTGAGTCGATGCGAAATTTTCGGCCTGATTTAAAAATGTCAACCCCCCCCCCTTGAAAAAATCCTGCGTACGCGCCTGGCCGGCATCCTTACGGTCGCCTTGCGTTTTCACTCGACCAAATTTAACCGGGAAGCTCCCGGACGCCGCAGAATATGTGATGACACATGCCGTAGAAATGAATATCGGAATGGTCCTGGACGGTCTCTAAAATCCACGGCAATCTGCCGGGTAGGAAATATCGTACGGGGCACGTCGTATATGTGTCCTAGGCATAAGGGATTATTAAATTATCTTTATGCCTAGGTCACATATACACCGGGCGCAGTACGATTTTCACTACCCGGCGACTTGCCGTGGATTTTATAGACCGTACGGGACCCTTCCGATGTTCACTTCGGTCGGGTTCCGGCCAAATGCCAGAAGGTAGGCTTACGGGCTCCGTCCGATAAACAGGTGCACTACATGGCTCCCGGTGCCCGGTCAGGGTCCTCAAGGCGCCCGACTGGGTGCCGTGCGGTGCACTAAACTATGTGACTTCAGTCGCCGCGCATCCATTGAGAATTGACAGAAAAAGAAGTCCGGGTACCGTTCGGAGCCCGCACGGTACCCGTACGATGCCCCACGTACCCTCTACGAGCTCTTTACGGCCTAACGGTCAGATGAAAACGCCGGAACAATTGGGAGCAGCCAACTCAACGCCACGGCTCCCGTACGGCTCGTGAAAAATGTCCCGGCACCCGTAGGAACTGTACGGGAGCCGACCGGGAACGAAAGTTCCCAAAATGTCTGTTTTTACTCGCCGTAAGAGCCCCCAAGTGTATAATTATGTGGAAGCTCCATTACCAAGACCCTGGTTGCGTGCTTATAATCGTACAGATCTTTTATAGCAGTCAGGTAAAAAAAAACAATATATCAAACCTAATTTATAGTAAAGGGTCTGAAATAAGAACGGTTACGGTTTGTGATGTTTTGACGTGTCTCGTTTGGAATGAATGCAGAAAGTCTAATCTCTTTTGTTGTGTAACGACATTTACCTTGTCTTTCATAGGTAACCGGTCTTATAGTTGGAATAGTAAACAATGTGATGTTTGTCGACGAGGATGTGCTAGCCTCTGCCCAAGAAAATGGAAATTATACTGCCCTCATCGTCCAGGTCTTGGAATCTCAGTTGAATACCGTCGACGTTGGTAACAGCATGCTTGACGCACCTTACCCCCAAATAGCAGTTCAGGTAAACTAGACCTCAACTCTCACAATTTGTTATATTCTTTCTGCCCGTATTTACTTCTATGAATTGTGTAGATATGTATATAACAGTTCAGATAAACTAGACCTTAATGTCTAGGTCAAATTTCCCGCCGCGGCCGTGCAGTCTAAAATATCTACGGCCAAACGCAATTATAGGAAAACGCGAGGCGTATGGTAGCCTTGCGTTTTTATATACTCCATGGGAGAAGCTGTAGCATCAGTCTGGCCGCACGGTCGCCGTATGGCCCCCTTTTGGCCGCCTTGCGGGTACCTTAGTATTTTTCAAAAAGCTACGGCCACCGCAGGGAAGCCCTTAGGCAACCGTGCGTCATCATTTTAAAAGCCGTACGGTAGTCGCAGATTTTCTGTCTCCACAAATTCAAAATACGCCGTGCGGCTACCCTAACATAATGTGACCGCTACCGTATGTAAACGTGGAAATGCTGCGGCGGTCCTTTGAATGATATTGGCCGTAGAGATTTTAGACCCCACGGCCGCCACGGCAAATGTGACCTAGGCATAACTCTCAAAAACAGGGGCGGCGATTTCTTTTCATGACGGGGGGGGGGGGGGGGGGGGGGGGGGGGGGGGGGGGGGGGGGGGGGGGGGGGGGGTGGTGAAATGCGAGGGACGATGGAGCAGTGGCGTAATGAGCAAAAACGTTGGGGGGGGGGAGAGAAAAATGCGTAAATTGGCGTGGGGTCCAGGGGAAAACCCCCGCGGGGGTAAAGGGGCGGGCCCCGTCAAACTCAGGAGTTTTTAGACATTTCATTAAGGTTAGATGAGCATCAAGGGGGCGGAGCCCCGGGAGCTCAGGGGTTTTAGGCATTAAATTAAGGTCAGATGAACTACCAGGGGCCCGCCTTAGGGCATTTGATGGGGTCCATGAGGCAGTGCCCCCGGAACCTCAGGGGAAAATGCCATTTCAGCCACATTTGTAAATCACTGGTATCGAATTAAAAATAAACAACGTTTGAATTTTATTTTTGGAGGGGGAAGTTTCCCCAAGCTCTCCCCCATCAATACGCAAGTGCGAGGGAGCATAATGAATGAGAGTGATGAAGGTGACGGAAGTGACTACCCCGTCACAGGTTTTGAAGTTTTGGTTGTATTAACAAATTACATTCCTGTAAAGCAAAACTATAGTATAAAAACAAGCAAAATATCTTTTTCACACTGCACTTTTCTTGGTATTTATTGTGCATTTCGAAGGATATTATGCGAGGGGGCGTATGTTGAGATCTTAAAGTGTAACGTGGTCTTAAAGTGTAACACGTTACCTAAGCTCCTGAAAAAATATGCATTTTTATTTGTCTAAACGCTGCATGCACTCTTGGGCCCTCCAGAGCCTAAAAGTGTGTTGCAGTCTTTAGTCAGTATTTGCTATACATTTTCTTGGCACTATTTCAAATTTGAGTGGGGGGGGGGGGGGGGGGGACGTGTCCCCCGTCCCCCCAGGATCGCTGCCACTGCTCACAAATGTGTACATTATATTTCTGCCCACGTATACAGATGTGTAAAAGTTTGTAGATGCATGCATTTAAGTACACAGTGAAACATGAGTTGTGCAATTTTTTTCCTTCTCTAATCAGACGTGCTCAGTTTGAGTGCTTTAAATGAATGACATGTTGACTGG